ACACACACACACACACACACACACACACACACACACACACACACACACACACGTAGCAGACCATAAATATGTTCACCTGTAGAACATCATCACACACACAATCCTACAGCCTGCATAGGAAACAGAAACGATTGATGAGCGCACACACCTGCCCCGGTGTTGTCTCCCAGCTGTGCTGCAGGCGGAGGATGGATGTGTGGTGGAGTCTGGGGTCAGAGCAGCAGCTCCACCCTGCTGAAGGCTGTCATTTTCTCTGTTGTGTGTGACCATGCGTGCGTCTTTTGTCAGAATGAATTTGTGTTGCTGCCAGTTTCTCGGGGAAGCGGCGCATCTGCAGATTGTGGTCACCACACCTGACACACACTCATACAGTTGGTATACAGTGTTTAGTGGGTATCAGTGCTGCAATGTAGCATCAGGCTCCCTCTGGTGTAGTGTAGAGCTCTGGCTCTGTGCTCTCAGGTTAGTGGAGGTCTACACACAGGAACAGGTGAATCAGTCACCTTCTGATGTTACAGCTAACATGTTAGCAAGCTGCGGTCTACCCCAACCCAGTAGTTAGGTGATATTTGTAGAAGAGTCTCCATCCAGCCAATGAACCTCAGTCCAGTTTGGTCTCCACCACCTCCTGAAGGAATCTGGCTCTTTAGCTGTGTTCACCAGCTGGTCCCTGACTGTGTGTGTCTGCTGTTTGCTGCTGAGCAGGTGGAGCACAGTGTGTTAAAAGTAAAGCTGGTGGGAGCACTGAGACTGAACAGTAACTGCTGTAGGAAATCCCGCAAAGCTCCATAGATCTGCAGAGCTGGTGGTAATTTTCTGTGGGTTTCTCTACAGAATGTCTTCACTCTGGAGGTCTGTAGCTCTCATTCTTGTCCTTTTGAAGCCACGGTACTCGACCATTCGTCCCTGAGGGCCACGAGGAGTCACAGTGAGCTGCAGAACAGTAGGTCACAGAGACAGGGAAGAGAAACTGGTTCACTGTGTCGGGAGAAGAGGTCCTGCTGAGCAGAGAACCAGTGCTAGACCAAACTTTGTATCAGAAACTGTAGCATCTGATAATGTAGTAAATGCTCTAAATGTAACAACCTATCCAGAATAAGTCAAACATATAACAACCCCTGTTAATTTAACAAACAGCTTCTTAATGTAATAACATCATTAGGAAAGGAAAATCATGTGCTAATTTATTTCAGCACATTAAAGACTAGTAGCATCCCCCCCCCCATTTAGGACATTTTAATATATTTTAACTGATTATGACATTACATGGCCATTATAACTTTATCAGCTGCTCCCAGGAGGAACAAGAGAAGAGATATAAACAGTGAGAAGAGGATGTTTAGTGTTAGCCATATCCCTGTCTGTTCCACACTCCCCCACCCACAGTGAGCTCAGCAGGGGCTCGGCGAGCGCTGCTCTTCAGTGGGAGACATCATTATGGATCTTCATCTCATTTTAATTTGTCATCTGGTGGCGGATTGTCCCGCGGCGGCTCAGCAGGAGGGAGCAGGACACATCTCCGCTGCCTCGCTCTGTTTCTGCTCCACATGTGCAGGAATGATGAGTTAAATGAATTATTCTGTCCAGGGAGGAGAACGTTCTGCTGTTTTAAAGTCTGGGTTTGTTTCTGCTGTTCTGACCTTCACACCTGGCTTTTGCTGCAGCGGTTTTAAGTCTTTATGGGTGAAGTCCAGGTTGAGTTCTCCAGAGAAGTGGAGCTTAGAGAAGCAAAGCTGAGTCACAGCTCTGCTTAGACAAAGCAAAAGTCAAGGAGCAAGTCTGTCCGTTCTACAAATGCTGACTATTCAAATTATATTTGTGTTTAAAGAGTTTCAGTCCAGAGTTGGGTCAAATGTTCTACAGGGCCAAGTTGTTTTGCTGCACAATGAAATCAGGTGAAAACTTTGGACTTGAATGTTTGTGTTTTTACAACCAAGGCTGAAACTTTTCTCCTGTCCTATGAACAGTCAGTTTCTAGCAAAGCCAGATCAGATTTGGTTATTGTGCCAGACAGGCTTCTGTATTTGTGGTTTTAGGTCATGTCAGCGTCATGTTCTTTAGGCACCAGTCAGAATTAACACTGAAACCAAACTGTGCTCACCTTCTCATGGATATTTAATTCTGGATAAATGCTTGAGAACAGAAAAGACATTTCCAGAGGCAGTAAAGGAGCCATGTGGAGTCTGTGTAAGCAGACAGCTGCAATTATGTTGCTTCTTACCAAAACACATTGTGTGTGTCCATACAAATATGTATGATTTTTAAAAAAAATATCAGCATTGTTTACATGGCGTGTTGCTCATGCATAACTAGTGGAACGCTGTGAGGCCACATGATGGGGTGCTGTTACCTGCTCCAAAACCTAATATGGAGAAGAGCTGTCGAGGCCTCCTGTGACCCAGACTCATTGAATAACACTGGCAGCAGTGGAGAGATATGAGCTTCTAAAAAATTTTGAGCGGCACTGACCTCTCTGACCAATCATCCATCAATCCATTATCCATAACCCATATCCTGTTGTTGGAGCCAATCCCAGCTGACCTTGGGCGAGAGGTGGGGTCCACCCTGGACAGGTTGCCAGTCTATCACAGGGCTGACATGTAGGTAAACAACCACACTCACTCCTGCAGGCAGTTTAGAGTCACCAGTCAACCTAAGCTGCATCACTTTGGACTGTGGGGGGAAGCCGGAGTACCTGGAGAGAACCCATGCAGGCACAGGGAGAACATGCAGACTCCACACAGAAAGGCCCAGGCTCAAACCCAGAATCTTCTTTCTGTGGGGAGACAAAGCTAACCATTGCATCTCCATGCTGCTGAGCAGCTGATCTGGAATGTAATCAAACGGCTGCTGGTCCACAGTCTTAATACTGAGAAACATGTCACATCCTGAAGTGGTAGCACAGGTCAAGATGCTGTCAGTGTGCAGGGTTACATTGTAAAAAAAAATGTCTAAGATGGACACCGCCTGACACAGACCATAGCCACTGTCCCTGCTCCACACATACAGCTGTTACAGCAGGGAGCACACCGCCTGACACAGACCATAGCCACAATCCCTGCTCCACACATACAGCTGTTACAGCAGGGAGACAGTGCTGTTTTCAAGTACCACCCTTTCAGAGCAGCTTCCTCACATTCAGGCTACAGCACACCGACATCGTCTTGTTATTTCAGCATTATAGTGAAATATCTTTGAAGCCTGCAGTTTGAAGCTGGTTGCTGTGCTGGTGTGATGCTGGAATGTTTGCCAGAATCTCAGTGTGCCTCACTGAACCAGCAAATTCACCCAAAGTGCCTGAACAGCAGATAAGTCGGACCGGGCCTGGTGAAGCCAAACTAAAGTCTAGAAAAACAAAGAGGGTTTCTGTGGAGTAGCGTTAGCAGCTGATCACTGATGAGTTATTTGTCGCTGCCTGCCTGCTGTTGGAACGTCACCTGTGTTGTTTGCTGTGTTTGCAGTGTGGAAGTTGCTTCCCGCTACAACATGCTGCTGGATGCTGTGGTGTATCTAAATCAGAAATGAAAGATGATTCAGTTGAAGCTGTTAAAGCTTCACTGAATGTGTTGCTTGACGCATTTGAACCTGCCAAAAGTCTTTAGATATGATTTTCAAAGAAAGCTGCTGAGTTCTACATTAATTCAGGACCAGTGGTCTGAACACAAAAGCATAATGGTGGGTAATTAGTCCAATCAGGTACTTTGTTGCTACGAAGCCTGCGGTGTGTACTTGCAGCGTTCATGCTGTTGTTAATGAATGGAGCTGCTGTTGGACCTCAGCTATTGGTAAATTGCAAATCAGACGCTTTGAGTCACAGCTTGGCTCTAAGTTAATGGAGTGTATTCAGGGACAGGTTGTTGTTGTTTGTGTTCAGGCCCCTCAGCGTTATTGACATGAAAATAAGCAGACAGCAGAACACAGTGTGGGTGCAGCTGTAAATACGAGTGGGCAGCAATTCAATTACAGGTGAAGACGCTTCACTTCAGTTTAAGCAGCTTTTTAAATGGCTTGCCTTTCAGATGGAGGAACTTGCGGTTTTTGCATATTACAAAAAAGATGTTTTAAGGAATTTTTCTCTTAGACTTTAAAAGTCTAAGAATTCCTTCACGACCCAGGTCGCCAAAGTGCATGGTTCCTGTAGTAGTCAAAAAAATTGTGGCAGCTTACCGAACTCAGACTGTGTTTAGCTGAAGGTGCCAACACTGCTAGCCTGACTTCTGCTAGCTGGAGATAATTCTCAGACTAAACAAGTCCACACGTGCACCTAAAAACTATGCCAAATTTGGCATATATACATGGTTCAAAGTCAGCTCACATGTGGTCTCATGATCGTTTTATGACATCTCTAGTGTTCCATGGCGGTATGACTATAAACATAAGATTGTACCATGGGCATCATTTCTCTGGCTGTTTTGTCTTACGGCATCACTTTCAGCTTTGCTAACTTATAGCAGCTGCTAGCTGAAATCTAATTCACATTCACCACCTCTGCTTCCCCTTCTCAGAGTCTGCAGTTGCATTACATCACCAGACGACCTGCAGAAAGGTCTAGGCTGCATCAAACTCGGCTCATATGGCGGTGATGACTCACAGGGTTCCCAGCAAGAGAGGGTCTGACTGCCGATTTCACTGAAAGGCTAATGTTTACTGGTCGACAAGGCTAACAGTTCAGTCCTGGCTACGTCAGGGCCATGACACCGAGCTGCTTTAATGGCCAATTAGAGCTGGCATAGCATGGAGGAGTCAGACATGTGGAGGAGATTAGAGTCATGATGCCATCAGGTCAAAGCTGCTCCACGAGGAAGCAGTGGGCATAGCGCTGAGCGGAGGAAGGCATGCTTTGATCTGTCCAATGCTTCCCCTTTACACTGATACTTCCTGTCAGGGGGGAGGGGAGAAAAGGAGGTTTGGACAGAGTCTGTGTGCCAGGACTCCAGTAGCAGCAGAACCCTCAACTTAAATTCACCCCTTTAGCAGAAACACATCTTTTAGGAATATAAAACTTCCTTTAAGATCATACAGTAACAACTCTGTCTCATTTGAAGTCTGAACATGCTCTGGTACTAATTGCTTGTGAGCTTTTTATAATATCTGAACAGTTGCAGAGCCTGCTTCAGGGTTCTCAGCGTGAAAATCTGTAGATACTTTGTACAGCTCTTCTGTGGAATGAAAGTGTGATTATTTCTCTGCAAACCTATTATAACAGTTTGTTCATGGTGCAGCAGCAGCCCTGCTGTTGACAGTGGGCCGAGCGTTCATCTGCTGAGGTCATCATGGCGTACACTGCGATGTCGACTTCACTCAGCTCAATAAAGGCCCCCCCGCTTCTCACTCACTCACTCACTTCTTTCTCATCTTCTTTCCTTGTCTTTGTTTCCAGCTCCCCACCTCAGTCTAGTTTCTCCCTACAGGTCTCAGACTTTTAAACTGCTTTTTGCTCAGTTGTTCCTCTTTCAGTTCCTGCCTCCAGTTTACTCTTTGTCACCCAACTTCATCTTTTCACCTTCTTTTCTTTTAAATTCTTTTCCTCCTTTTTTCACTGTACCTGTTTTATCATTTAGTTCCCCTTCTTTTTTATTCTCTTTCCACATTTTCTCTCTCATCGCTCTTTTTCTGCTGCTTGCATTTTTTTGCTTTTTTCTGTGTTCTATCTGCTATTTCTTTTTCCATCCTTTTCCATCGCCTCTCCCTCCTTTTCCTCTCCTTGTTACCATCTGTTCAGGAGATCTTTGGCCTTTTAATTATGGTCTGATTTCCCAGGGCCAAACCTTCCTCCCTTCTCCATGCTCCCTGTTGTCACTGGTGCCCTTGGCAAAGGAATTGCTGAGGTAAAAGGCTGTGAAGCCACTCAGAAATCAATGGCCGTATCCTTTCGGAGCTGAATGACTCCCCAGACTCCCCTCCTTCACCCGACAATACAAGCTTTAGGTTGAAGACGGAAAGGGGTTTTATTTTATTTGGTGAGACCCTCCCATACGTCTGGTCTTTTGTTATGATGCTGAGATGTTGGAGTTGATGATCCAAGTGTTGATCATACTGCAGTGAAATAACCTCCAGCTTGTCTCAGTAGAGACACACCGGGGCAGAAACACTGGCCAGACTGACAACTGTTGACCACTGACTTGGTGATTCACCAGAGCCCAGCCTCGATTTATGTCTTTAGACATAAACACTTGCTGTCACTACAGTGTGGTTGTCATGGTAACAACACAGGCACACACACTGGCAAACAGACTCGGACACTCTGTATGTAGATAAATAAAATGTTATTTGTTTTTGGTTCTGAAGCCGCTTGTGTCTGTTTGTTTTTCTACAGTAAAATAAAAATGGAGAATCTCTTTGCCCTATTCAAACTAAAACTGCTGCCTCAAAAAGATTAGAAAATGTTTCTTGAACCAGAAACAACCAAAGCGTGGATAAATTGTAAATGGCAAAAATACACATAGCCGTCCTCTATGCGACTTTCAGGAGATGCTAAGTCAGGCCACAGGGCAATATTTGAGTAAAGCGTTCTTCATGCATTAAATCACGAGCGCCCTCAAGGAGTCCTCCAGTGTTTGGATCCCTTTTCAAGTGCAAATGCGAATTGGGCAAATCTAGTGAAAAGAGTGCCGTCTGGTGGGGCCGTGGGGCTTTGACGAAGGCTGAAATTTGTTGGCAGCTGTTTTCCTGATTTCCTCACATTTGGCTTTCCACTTCCTTCCTAATCTATGACAAGAGAAAGGTGAGTTTAGGGCAGAGCCTGGCCTGCAGTCACTGAACACATGAAGGCACACAGAGTTTCTCCTCTGGCGTCTTAAGGATTAAAGGAGCATGCTCATAGCTCTGCTTACAGTGGATGCTATGCTGGAAAAAATGCTGATGTTGGTGCATATACTGTTATAATATACAGTGCAGGGACAACATCAGAGTATTATCCCATATATGATAGTCTAACAGGCTCTAGTCTTTTGGTCTCAGGCTTTCCACCGGATGCTGAACCAGGGCTTTTCTTCCACGAGCATTAGAAAACACCAGCACTGATGCTGGGTCATGAGGTCTGACTCGCAGTCAGGGTTGAGGTCAAGACTCTGTGTAGGCCATTCAACCTCTTCCACATGAAACTGTGAAGCTACTAGCGTGCACAGGGACACTATCATGTTAAAACAGGAAAGAGACAAACACAAACTGTTCACACACAGTTGTCATTTTATGTTAAGGCGATAAATTTATGTTCACCAGAACTATGGGGCAGAATTGTGCAGTGTGTGTCCTTCTGGCATTCACCAAGCCCCGTTTTGTCAGTGCATTATTGTGCTTTACACCATTTCATTAGACATCTCTGCTGTGCACAGTGATCGTGAGCTTGTGTACTGCTAATGGAAGCCATTAGGCTTTTAACTAAGCTAGATCAAAAACTGAGCTGATGTGGGCATGCTGTTTAAGGTACAGAGAGACAATGAGTTATTATCCACAAAGTCCAGTTTGATGATTTTAAAGTTTTATCAGATACAAAACCGGCCAGTTCCATTCATATGAATGAGGGGGCTGCTTTGTGCAGGAGTGAAGGCCACCTAACAGCCGCCCAGGTTGTTTGTGAATTGGTTGTAGTGTTGTATGGCATGGCTTATAAATCAGTGAGCTCTTATTTGTCAGTTTTTTCATCTACAGAACACTGGGGCAAGTCTAGCTTTTGAAAAATTGGATTTTTGAAAAGACTGCTTCCCATGACAATGCCACAGTCATTCCATTTTCACCAGAATACCAAATGTCAACAAGGGCAAGATCAGGAGAATACATGTAGGAGCATGGCCTGTGCCATGTGCCACCGACAGCGTAGACCCCAGACTGAGCCTGGAACATGTTAAAGATCCTGTTGGCAGCTATGCCAATGATTAAACATTTCCAGCTTCTAAACTATGAGAATTTGCTGCTCTTGTCCTTTTTATGATTGTACATTAAATAAAACTCTTTGGGGTTTTACATAAAAAGGTTGAAGATTTCACCTTGGGCTCCGTGACTGACAAATAATGGTTCAGCTCTAAAATTCACAAACCTGCACAAATCTAAAAAAAAAGCCTCAAATTCCCAGAGCATCAGCTCACCTTGTTGTCCTCTTCCGGTGCGTTTCTAATTCATCTCGTCAGTTGTCATACTTGTCATCGTGTTGAGCAGCAAACACCGTGCACTGTTTGATGTTCAATTTCCTGCAGCAGGAACCTCTGGCCCTCAGAGGTGCAGGTGTGCTGGTCTGCTGAGGAGCAGGTGGTGGGAAGACTGAGAGGAGGTGGAGACATGCGGACACACAGATGGAAAGCCTGGGAAAGGGGAGGGAGGGTGAGTTATTTTTACCTCCCTGAATCACATCTAGTGAATATTGGTGGTTAATATATGGATGACTGGTGGTGCTCAAAGGGCCGGAGTGTGAGTGAATGAAGGGGGAGAAGAGGAGGGAGGTGACAGGCAATACATCAAACGCACCGTGATGAGCAGCGTGCTAGGTGGGATAATTTCACCCCACACCCCCACCCCTTCCTCTCACCACAAGTCTTTCCTGTAGGTCATTTTGGCCGTGAGAAATAACAACCAGCGGGAGCAGCACGCCCATGTCCTAATTGCCTGTCGCTGCACTCCATTGGTCAAGAAAAACGCAACTTAATCAGCTTGTCCATGTTCAAGGCTCCCTGAGGAGCTGCAGCCAGGGATAAAGAAGAAGCAGAAGATGGGTTTTAGAGCTTTTGTCTGTAGAACAAACGCATACAACAGTGTCACCTAATGTTAACGCTGCAGAAAAACCCTCCGGTTGTCTCCAATTGTGGACAGTTTAATTTCCTTCAGTTTGATGAATTTTTGAGGTTCAGTTTGAGTTTTCTCTTCAACTGTATGGAGACCACCAACTATATATTAAGACTTGTGTTCATAAAACTGTATGACGTTCGGGTGAGGATGTTCTAGGTGCAGTTTCTTTAGTTTAAATGGTTTTATGATCATCAGTATGAAGATCTGCCTATGACTAATATAAGAAATCATTCTAGCAAATAAACTTTCTCACAAATTGTATTAAAATATGTTTTTAAACAAATTGACTTGAGCTATTTTGCAACATGCAAGTTAATGTGATGATGTACCACCTTCTTTTCACAGCAGCTGGTCTCCTGCTGTGCTCACTTTCCAAACACTTGGGCCAAGAAAATACAGAAATTCAGTACAAATGCACATGAACAAAACAGAGTGCAACCTGCAATAAGAGCTCAGGATCAGATGTTGCGCTGCTTAACACACATAAGGGAGCAAATTTTCCAAGGAACGGCATCCTTTCTAACAGGTTGTCATGACAACAGTCCAGCGTCGCCAGAGGCCGCACAATCACATGACATTGATTAGAATCAGAATCTGCTTTTTTGGCCAGGTGTGTCGGACACATGAGGAATTTGACTCTGGTACATTGGCTCTCAATGTGTATGCACATATCCCCATGCAAGGAGCAAGTAAACAGTAAACCAGCCTAAGGCTGTGTAATATAACAAAATAAGCAGTATTATTAACAAGCAACAAACAGGGCAAACAATGTAAAATAAGCAATATAAACAGGCAGTAAACAATGCAGACAAACAAAGGAATGCTCATTGAAATTAGATAAATAGGAATAAAAAATAAAGTACTTAAAATTAGAGACCTGTACGGATCTGTATAATTTGTACAATGTATATTTACAGGTATTGCACTGAGGGTTATTATCCAGTCAAACTGTTGTTGGTTAAGCGTTCATCAGAGTGATGGCCTGGGGGAAGAAACTGTCCTTGTGCCTGGTTGTCTTGGCAAATAGTGACCTGTAACGCTGTCCAGAGGGGAGGCGTTCATATAGTCTGTGTCCAGGGTGTGAGGGGTCTGCAGTGATCCTCTCCGCCCTCCTTTTGACCCGTGCGGTGTACAGGTCCTCCATGGAGGGCAGGTTAGCACCAGTGACCTTTTTTGCAGTCCTGACTGTCCACTGAAGTCTGTACTTGTCCTGTTTGGTTGGTGAGCCAAACAAGACAGTGATGGAGGTGCAGAGAACAGACTTGATGATTCTTGTAGGACTTTACTGCTGATACACTGCTGCCAAGTATGGTGAGCTGGGGTAAGGTGGGGAGGTTCTTCCTTAAGTCCACTGTCATCTCCTCTGTTGTCCCCTCGCAGCTGCAGCTGCTCACACCTCAGCCAGACCTTGCCCCTCCTCCGACTGTCATGAGGGTTTCCCCAACAGCCCACAGCTCCCGAGCAGTCACCGCCCACCGGTCCCCTCAGCCTCACGGTGGACCAGGTCAGGAAGGCAACAGGCCCTGACCAAATCAGCCCCAGGGTCCTCAGGGAGTGTGCAGACCAGCTCAGTGAAGTGGTCCTGTACATGTTTAATCTGAGTCTTAGCCTGGAGAGAGTCCCAGCTCTATGGAAGACATCCTGTGTTGTCCCAGTTCCCAAAATACCTCATCCTAAGAAGCCAAACCATTACAGACCACTGCATTGAGCCCTATCTCACCTGGAGTCCCCTGGAAGTCTTGTGAGGGTCATGTTTTTTGACTTCTCCAGTGCTTTCAACACAATCCAGCCATCACTGCTGAGGGGGAAGTTGGAGGGGGCAGGTGTGGACCAACACCTGTCTGCATGGACCATTAACTACCTCACAAACAGGCCTCAGTTCGTAAGGCTGCGGGACTGTGTCGGATGTGGTAGTCTGCAGCACAGGGGACAGTGCTTTCCCCCTTTCTGTTCACCCTCTACACGTCGGACTTCAAGTACAACTCCCACCACTGTCATCTACAAAAGTTCTCAGACGACACTGCTATTGTTGGATGTGTATCTAGGGGGGACGAGGGGGAATACGGGGGGTTGTTACTGACTTTGTGCAGTGGTGTGAGAAAAACCACCTGGTCCTCAACACCAGCAAGACAAAAGAGATGGTGATTGACCCCCGGCAGAAATCACCAGCACTCACGCCGGTGAGCTTGCAAGGCTCAGATATTGAGATTGTGGACACCTTTAAATACCTGGGTGTCCACCTCAACAATAAGCTGGATTGGAGCAACAACACAGATGCCCTGTACAGGAAGGGCCAGAGCCGCCTCCACTTGTTGAGGAGACTGAGGTCCTTTGGTGTGCGCGGGGCACTCCTTCAGACATTTTATGATTCTGTGGTGGCATCTGCAGTTTTTATGCTGTTGTGGGTTGGGCAGGAGGTAGCATGGTCAGGGACATAAAGAGACTCAACAAACTGGTTAAGAGAGCTGGTTCTGTCCTGGACTGCTCTCTGGATTCCATCGAGGAGGTGGCGAACAGAAGGATGCTGGTAAAATTAAACATCCATCATGCATAACCCCACCCGTCCCTTGCGCCACACAGTGGTGGCTCTGAACAGTTCTTTTAGTACAAGACTATTACATCTCCAGTGTAAGAAGGAGCGTTACCGTAGGTCATTCCTCCCCACAGCCATCAGACTGTACAACACATCACTGCAGTGATAAACTAGGTGAAATTATGAGGGACTATGTAATAGTCTACTGTGGTGCAATATTCCGGCTCCTGGAGGTGAAATGCATTGTAAATAGGCTCGTGTAATGTCTTGCTCCTGATCTTTCTCAAATAGTGTTACATTGCCCTGCTTAGGTATTTTTGAGTAGTTGCTCAGAGATCCTTAATGGCTGAAACACTGGTTTCTTTCCCCCATTGTGGGATTAATTGTGTGAGTAATATTCGATTGTTCTTGATTTCCTGGTTGTTTGGTCTCTACTGCTGTTCCTGATTCTCTCCAGTGCTGCTTTGCCCTGTTTTTGGGTGCCTTTGATTTGCTTATTTGTGCTGTGTAAAATGCAACGTTCTGATGACGCTACTTTTATAATCTTTGTGCATATCAGCCCTAATGCTTTGTTGCCTTTATGTAACTTCTTTATTTTAAGACTAAGTGTTCTTTGTTACTACATACTTACGTATGCATGCGCCGCACGGAGTGGCAACAAGTTACAGCAGCTGTCCTTGTTGTGTTCTTTTCCGTGTTTCTATGAAGTTCTGTTCTTATGTGTTTGTTCTTATGGTGTTATGTTGGTTGTTCTCTATTGCTGCTGTAACACAGAAATTTCCCCACTGTGGGATCAATAAAGTACCTACCTACCTACTGTTTTGAGCTTGTTCAGCTCCAGGTTGTTGCGGCTACACCACAGGACCAGCTGCTCAACCTCCCGTCTGTAGGCTGACTCGTCGCCGTCTCGGATGAGACCAGTGACCGTTGAGTCATCTGCAAACTTCAGGAGCTTGACAGAGGGGTGCATCGTGATGCAGTCGTTGGTGTAGAGTGAAAACAGCAGAGGGGAGAGCACACATCCCTGGGGAACGCCTGTGCTTATTGTCCGGGTGCTGGATGTGGTTTTCCCCAGCCTCACCTGCTGCTTCCTGTCTGTCAGAAAGCTAGTAATCCACTGACAGGTGGGGCAGGCACAGTGAGCTGGGTCAGTTTGGAGTGGAGGATGTCCGGGATGATGGTGTTGAATGCTGAGCTGAAGTCCAC